GGAGTCCCCGGGCTGGGGTTACCCTTCAGAGTGGGACAGCAGATGGGGCCTGGCGTCACCCTTCAGAGCCATGGCCCACTTCGGGGCTTTGCGAGATGGCTATTTACGTTTATCTTTATAATAATGTGCTAAATTCGATGTTTTTGTGGTACTATAAAAAAAGGCCACTGCTGTCACATTTTGGGATTAACCTGAAGCACGAGGCTTATCTTCACACGGGCCCTGCTAGCGCCTGCTTTGAGAGCCTCAGAAAATCCTAAACACTGAGATATCCCAAGCCCACAAAAAGTCTTTAATGTTTCACACCTGGTAGCTTGTTTTGTAAAGTCTGTGCCTTTGACTTGCTGTTAAATTACACCTTCTTCCTCCTTCCTGTACAAGTACCATCAAGATTATTATCAGARGTTCTGTGGCTCCTCCAAAGCCCAAAAGCCATTGGGTCTGGCTTTGGAAAGGTTTAGTTTAGTTCACATCTTGGAAACTTACTTTAAATGCACTTTGGGCTCTCTTCAGCATTTTTGCCTCAGAAATCAGATTTTCCCAGCCTATGACATCCAGAGGAGCCAACTCCTCTCCACATGTATTGCAGAAGGCCAGAGCTAGGATTTCAAACAGCAGAGGGAAATGTTAAAATGGCAAAAATTTGGTTTCCCAGAATGAAGCCCAAGTATACAAAACCCAAAGAGCACATGGTTGCCAAATTGCTCTATGACACACCACTCTCCTTCCTCCCCTCTTACTGGGACAGAAGAGGAAACCAAAGCATGGTCCCATTTTCCCTATGACTATTATTTCCTGTATTATGGTAATAATTACAGCCATCCTGCTGACAGCCCCTGTCCCCAGCGGATAGGGCAGGCCTGGTTACTTTGGGATGACAAAAATGTTAACCCTTCACATAGCCCTTTTTCTTCATCAGGCCCCRCTTTAGTCACMAGYTTCCAGCAAYGCCAATGAGATTGAATCAGTGTGTYGTAAATGGATCTAAATGGTTTTTCCACATGGTGTTTGAAGTACTTTTAAGGTGCATATGACTCTCAGAACTGGCAAGTAAAATTGCTGGTGGTAATATTTAGCACCTGGATACACAGATCTGATAGTGTGTCATTGTACMGTTGTTTTTCTGCTGAGCCAGTATGCCTGTTCACTGTGAATAATGCTACACCTCTTCTACCATCCTGCTCCTTGGCAGCTCTCATAGGTAAGGGCCCACAGGCCCACCCTGCAGACCTCAAAGTCCTCCTTTGATCATCTTCAGTCACCCATAATTTGTCGGGTACCTCCTGACTGCACCTCTTTTCTGAGTACACCCCAAGTCCACACAGCTAGAACTGCAATCCTTTCAGCCAGGCAGCCAACACACRTGTGAAAACAGTCCTTTTTCATTTTGCAGGCTTTAATCTACATGAAACCTGCTTGGTTGTGGTTTGGGGCTCTGTGATGAATTAATTGCCAGTGGTCGATACAGAAGGTTCACATGCCCTTCAGAATAGATATGAACTGGGTAAAGTCTCAGTTGCTTCTTTCCATTATTTTTAATTTTGAAAAAATTCCTCTAACCTGTGAAAAATCTCTCTAACCTGTGAAAATCATCTCTCAAGACTAAAGTAAATCACCCAGTGCAAAAAGTGAGTCCCATCACCAGGGATTTCTGGGGACTCTGCAGAACTGAACAATTTCCAAGGAAATTGGGCATCTCTGTACAGTGCAGGGAAATGACTCATTTCCAACTAAAGAAGATAAAAGCCACTGCATGCAGAGAGCTGCAGATGCACTGCTGAGCCTCCTCCCTGGCTCTGAGAGCGCTTTTTTTAACATACCTGCAGTGCAGTGCAGGGAGTGGCAGACCCATGCACAGCTGGGGACTCCGATGTTTGGCCCATGGGCACACAAAACCCATTTGTGACCATTTTGGGGAGCAAAGGCACAGCAGGAGCCATCCCTGCTTCCAGATGCTGAGGATATTCTTTATTCCAGAAGGCTTGGCTGCACTGATGCAATCCCAGTGACCTTCACAGGGATCAGAGGAAACTGAGCCTGAAAGCTCCAAGTGAAAAAACGGATCAGTGGCTGCAGCACAGACATGGCCTGGTGCTTCTCCCGTGTCAGCCTGGGGCGACTCCAGAGTGCTCCCAGACTTGTCCTGCTGCAGAGAGGAACCTCAGTTTGACTAATATTCTCAATCCTAAACACCAAATTTTAAGCTGCTAAAATCCCATGATGCGAGGTTTGAAATATCTGAGTGTGGTCAGCAGAGCTGCTTCCCTGCACATTGTCTCCCTGATCCCTGGTTCCCTGCAGTGCTCAGAAAATGCRTTCAAATCCCCAGGAAGAAGCACATTAGTACAGCTGCATCCCTCTTCATCAAACTTTCCAGACAGCTCAGCRTTTTCTAAATAAAAACACAGGCCTGGACAGGTTTCCTGCCGTCCCCGAAAGGCGAGGGCACACTGGCCCCTTCTGGAGAGCTCGAGGAGCGGCAATGATGGAGAAAAGAGCCGGCACAGTTTCCTCTGCTTGTGACACTTAACTGTCCAGGGGAAACAAAGCAATAGTCACATTTTCCTGAATTCACCGCATTATAATTAAGTATTAATCACACKGTTGTTTTTATCTCGATAATGATGTTGGGAGAACCACTTTTTACGCAGGSAGTGATAGGGGTGACTGTTTCAAAGTAACTTATGAGATATTTAGATTACATGCATGAAAGGCATTCTTCCCTGTGAGGATGGTGAGGCCYTGGCACAGGCTGCTGGGAGAAGCTGGGGCTGCCTCACCCCTGGAAGTGTCCAAGAGCAGGTTGAACAGGACTTGGAGCAACSTGGGATAGTGGAAGGTGTCCCTGTCCATGGCAGGGGCTTGGAATGAGATGAGTTTTAAGGTCCCTCCCAACCCAACCCATTCCATGATTCTCTATCTCCTTAAACATACATTTACCACAAAAAATTCTGTCAAGCTTCTTCAGCTAAAGAACAGAGCCACTGTTCTATCCATCTCTCTGCCTGTGATTTTTTGCATTTCAAGGATTTCTTTCCAAATGCATAATAGTGGCYCCCAAACACTAATAGTATGACCAGAAAAACCATCACTGTTCTTCATCACCCCCAAGAAAAGGTCAGTTCCTGAGCACACTGTCATGGAGCTAGGCTTTACTGGGTTCAGAGTAGTGYAGAGGAACAAAAAGACTCCCAAAACTCAAATCTGTATTTTACATGTTTAAAAGCTGGAAGTTTCCACCTCCTTGATTCGTCTGTGTGCCCTTGCAGGACCTCTCAAGCAATGGCTGGAGGCCAACATCTTCCATCCATGGTAATGGCACTCTAGTAGGCACACCCAGAAATAATGGATCTGACTGAGCTCTGCAGGCTCATGCACAATCCAATAGCCTGGATTGACCCTGTGTACAGCCAGGGGATGGAGCACTAGGTGGGGAATGTTTATTAAGGAGYAGGACTTTGCACCACAACTCCAAACTGTCCTTTAAAAGCAGATGTTGTTACACTAAGGGAAATTCGCAGGTTGGGTTCTTAACCTGAAGAAGGATTCATAAGCTGTATTTCAAGTGTTGGGGTCCTGTTGAGGCTCCTCCTGCCCCAAGATACCTCACTCCTGCCCCATACCCTTTGCTCACCTCTGTTTAAATGGGAGGGTTGGGAGAGTCCCTCCCTTTTTTTAAGACAACTGTGGGTAGTCCTGGTCGAGGCTCTGCTTTTGACTTTTCTGGGTAAGCTCTGGGCCCTGTGTTTGAGCTTTGCTGTTTGCAGTATTTCTGCCCTGGTTTCCTGGGTTGGCTCTGGCCCTGGTTGCTGCCTGGCCATGCCTCCTGCTCCCTGGGTGCCTGATGAAGGTTGCTGCCCTGTCTTYAGGCATGGCAGGACTGATCCTG